AGCTGCCAACGCGAGCACGACGGGGGAGATACGCATGCCGAAAACAAGCTGGATGTGGTTTCTAGTGAGCTGTGGTACAAGAGACAAATTGAAGAATGATAATTTCCAACCAGGATTGCTTCCGATGTTTCAGCTTCAAGATGATGCAGCAAGGATCAGATGTATCTGATCCGAATCATAACGATCACATATGGTATTACGCAAGCTTGCACTGTTGGATTCTACTGTATCTCTTCTATTGCTCCAAGTATCAGACATCCACACCCTCAATTTATTAAAGTTAGCACAGACTGAAATTTTAAAACATCACGGAAATTTTGAGCAAATCTACAAATACGAAGCAATTCTAGATATTGGAATTGACATTAGACATATTTACTGCTTTATCAAAGCAAATTATCGCGTTGTGAACATTTCATAGTGTTGAACCTACTAAAAGTATCACAACTGAGTATCATCGTTTCGTTGACTCTCAAATCAATGACGTACCATTCTGCAAATATTCCGTCATCGTACTTGGTTTATAGCTTACTGTACACCTGGCTCACTTCTTAAAACAAATGTTTTTATAGAGCCAGGTAAGATCAGATATCTGGTTCTTCTGAGATAATAACTGATTTTTTGTGTTTAATAAATCCAAAAAATTGCAAAACTGGCATCACTATTATATAGTATTAATACATATGTGATGATGTGATATACCATATCGACGATGTACTATGTAGCGCTGTACATCTTTGCTGTCTCTAAGCTGTTAGGGGTACACTCGTTGCTCTTATATGAGGTTTTGGAGCGGACACATCGACAATCTGGAACAAGGCGACAATAGCATGATTGTTGCTTTCTTTGGGGTGGGATACCATACCAGCTACTTCATCTGCGCGGAACATGGCGGTCAAGCGGATAATTGCTATCTTCCAGAAACCAGATTGGATGGAAGTCAAAGCTTTTTTGCTTTCTGCTGAGCGCGATGACGTGTATATTGGGTTTGAAGTTTGCGAAGCCTCGCTGGAATACTAAGGGAGAGATATCAAGACGGAGAATCAAGCACTGGTGTCCAGTGAAGATGGCAGGATCCACATCATCGAAGTTCTGTCTGGTGGTCATGATGGCTTTTGCGAATTTTTCCAGAAGTTATTAAATGCCACTGGAACGCGTCTCCGACACTTGGTGTCACGCGGATCGAGTTACGTTGAAAGTCTTCGAAAACTCGATCCCGATTGCAGTTTTGGTCTTGCTCCTGTGTTGGTTCCATTCGTCCTGGTGGTATGACGTGGATAGAATATCACACATTGAAGGTGGGATTGGGGGTCACGAAAATGGCCGTATTTGAATTGGAAAGTGGATCAATGGAGGCAATTTCCCGGCGTCGAATACATTCTCTGCATTCGTCTATCACCAGCACTGGGGGTTCATCAGTACATGCTCTACACGGTGAATAATCGTGCAGATCCACTTCCGCCTATGGATCCGATAACTATTATCAATCCGACAAATGTGACTTTCAATGTCTGTTAGGCCTAGTTGGTAGAGGTCGCACTCCCCAAGGGTCCTCTCGGACCAATGTGGTGATCAATTTGTTTCCATTCATGGAGTGGCTGATTCAGGAAAACCAGTGAAGACATGACTGATCGTAATGAGCTTAATACTGTATTTTCACCATAGTCTAGTGACCATATGAATGAGAATCACCTTAGAATGCGAACCAGACTGTACATATGCCCTAGTATTGTAGAATGCAAAGCATATGTATATAACTTTGTTCGTAATATACATCACTTTGGAAATAAAAGAGCAAGAACTTTAGAGGCTGTTGGCTTTCTTCTTAAATAGAACGTACGATCCGAACCTTTGCCTATTTGTTAGCAGTTTATGTGCGGGATATACGGCAACCCGGTTGCATGTATGTCTATAAACTTGGACCTTCAAGCTTACTATAAAATGACAAGGTCTTTGCGATACTATCGATAGTTAATATCGAATACGAGGTGTAGATGATAGAGAAACGATTTGGACATGCGGATGTCATAATATTCGAATTTATACAAAACTGATCTGGCGTGGTATCAGCTACAATAAAAAACTCACAAGTAGCCGAATCCGATTCTCGCTTTTATCCATATGGTAAGTATCAGCACTGCATTATCATCAGCCAGCTCAATTGTTTGCCTGGTACATGAAAGTTTTCCAGGAATAGCATGCATGTAGCGAAATGTTGGCTTTTGATATTATTAACATATGCCTATTCTTGATACAATCGCACTAGAAGAGTATGGCTGCTACTTAGATCCGGTTAATGATTACTAATCAAATTGATGGAATCAGCTTTTGATATGCCAAGCAACGAAAAGAATCAAGCCATCCAATCTTACTTCGCGTATCCTTCATGTCAGAATCATTGAGTGACCTTAGACAGAAAGCAAGCCACGTTGCGAGTTTAGTGTTCAGGTCTTACCAAAGTGTTGATTAGTGACTGTCCCACAATTTTATGAAAAAATAGATCAAAATTCCTGATTGCTGTTCAGATTAATACATAAGCAATAGTGAACAACGATATCATAATTCGACACTTTAAGCGACCGTTTAACGCGATCTCTGCTAAGACAGGAATGCATTGCACTTTATCCTGGTCTCTAGAGTGTGTCTTTAATAGGGCGGGTTATCGCATCTGCAAGCCTGTGTCTCCTGTGATAGAGTCGAAGAAGCATAAGGCGACATGATTGCCGCAGTAACCAGTGGCAATGTCAATGGTGATTGAGAAAAAGCGACTGGAAGAGCCAAACTTTAAAGATATTGAGGATGACCTCATTGGCACGATGTGACAATATGGCTGCGTCAACTTCGCCGCGTGACGTGCACCCAGGGTGGAGCAAAGTAACACCGCGGAGTTCGTAAATTGTCCGAAAAAGATAGTCTATCTTCCTCAGATCAATAATATTATAACTGGGTGAGATACAGCCAAGCTGTTCCTCGGCAAATTGTTTCTTCGACATGAATTCCTGTCAATTATTGTATTGGATAGAGATTCGCGATTTGAAGCTAAGCTTTGGGGATGTTATTTGAGGTGCTCGGAACCGGATTAAGTATGTCAATCATTGACCATATGGCCAGACGGCACGAGTGGGTGGCAGTTTGGCTCAGAAGCACTTTGGTGGGAAGCTGTGATGCCGGGCGAGTTGCTCCCAACTGTCGAGGTCGCGCTAAATCGCGTTGCATGCATACACACAGCTTTTTACCCCATTTGATACTTTGGTCTAGTATACCTCGTCTAATTTTTCCACCGACACGAAGTAGCTCCGGTATCAGTGAGAAGCTTTGTCTACCAGCTTTGATTTGCTATCAGCCCGGCTACACTTCGCAGCAATAGCAAGTATTTTATCGAGATGCAATGTTGCGTTATGCGAAGGTTGCACAACGCTATGCTACGACAAACAAAAGCAACATTACGATACCAGAGGCTGCCGGAATTCTTACAATCTTGTGATACTATGAATAATGCAGTCTTGGTATTTGTTTATCAGTGTCAAGTTGGTACTATCGTCAACATTCCCGACACGTCAGACACGTACGTCGTTGTAATGAAACCACTTGGCTCCTGCGCTACAACCAGGTTGGAAATCGCATCGTCGCGATGGTAGGGCTTGAGGAGCCCAACGTAAAGCGTTGAATGGGTCCTTAGCCAGTTTGGCAGGTCGAAAGTGCAAGCATTCTCATGGCATGACACTACTTGGAATAGTCCGATGAAGCGAGGTGATAACTTTAAGCTTCCCAAGCTTAGAACCGCAACGTCTGATAGCTTTTTTCGCTGGGGGCTAAGCAGTCCATAATCGCCAGCAAAAAAACATGTTGCCTTGACAAGCTCGGCTACCTGTGTTATACTTCTGTAGATCATGCGCATTCGCCATTGCTCGCACTCATGCGATCGCATTCACACGGCTCATGAAGAATGAGTCTAGGGCGTCCTTTTACTTGCGCTCCACATTTGCATCATTGGTTGTATCAATCTGGGAGGCGACGCCTTGGCGATCTTGTCCCCCGTTTACATCAGAGACATAACCAATCGCACAAAGCAATACTTGCGAGTATCGCAAGCCATTTCGTATATTCGGTAGATGAATGGGCTGTATTGTTTGTAGAAAATAAATCGATGGCATTAACGAATTCTGCGGAGTTTCATGCATAGAAGCTTCACAACACATAACCGGCCAATCAGTTGGAGCGTTCAGTTTGCCCATCGGTCCCCGGATGTATCGCTGTGGACATTTCCAAGCGAGTGCAAGGAATTGGAAGCGATATTTCCAAAAGCGACTCGTGAATCGTGTATCATGATCGGAGACGACAGCGTTTGGCGATTCGTGATTTCAAAAAACGTGGTCAATGAACAATTTAATCGAACCTGCGGTATTAATGGAATCGCTACACGGAGCAATGCAAAACATCTTACCGAGTATGCCAGGAAAGACGAGCACCCCATTGTCATCAGCATTCTCGAAGAAGCCAAAAATAAAGTTGAGACCGACTAACTTCAAACATTCAGTAGAAACAGGAAGACTCTGAGTGGTATTTGCGTGTGTCGTGCTCTCTTCATTCGCTGACAGACATCGCATGTCTTCACGTATCGTGCCACCCATATGTATATGTGGGGCCACCGAAATTAGGCCCTGAGAGACTGGCTGTTTTTTCACGGATAAAGCGACCGGGAAGCTTGCCAAGGAATTTTATCATGATGACAGGGCCAGGATATCCAGATCACATTGTTCATCCTCAACATACGCTTGACGCATCATATCAAATTCATCATTTTCGATAAAGCTGATATGAGCTAGCTCATAATGGACGACGTAACAACGCGTCTTCCAGCACATTCGGTTTCTGTGGCTTGTACGCGACCGAATAGTCGTGTTTTACGAAGCATCGAGCCATTCGCTGT